TGTTAACCATGTAAATAAAATATCCCCTTCTCATGACATTTTCAGTTTTTAGATGAAATTACACATAGTGAAGTATGATGAAAGTTCATTTAGTTTAATCATGTCATAGAATTTCATGATAATCTTGTAATATGTTCGGTTGTTGTTTAAAAAAACAATCAATCAATATTTCTCTTTCTTCGAGACATTGTCATTTTATTCGTTGATGGTTTTCAAGTTGAGAAATAAGATATTTTTAGATTACTGATTGTTATTTACGACATAATATTTAAGGAGAAATTCAAACGTTAGATGGAAGAAACAAAATGAAACTTTCAGTTTTGTTCATCGTTCTCACATGTCTGATACAAGTCGAATGTCATGTCATTGAGAATTTCAATGAAATAGGACCATGCATATTACAGATATTTAGGTTCTTTATTATAGGACTGTTCAACAAGAGTTTTATAAAGTTCTTCTAAATGTTTATTAACATCATATGACAATGATCGAACATGAGATCTTCTTGGAAGTGGGTGGCTCTGTGGTTGTGATATAAAGATCAAAACAAGCACGATCAAGTTGATCAGTATTTTCTATATAAGCATCATTTAATTCTGTAATAATCTAAATTCAGAAAACTAAACATTTATAAAAAAAATTAAATAAATCATTTTGAAATTTTACCGTAAGATGTGCTTCAATTCCGTTTTTTAATTTCAATGTTCTTTCCATTGTTGATTGATTTTCCCAATCAATTGAACAACAATTATTGATTTCTGTATTAGTTCCACCTCTATAATTATAATAAAAAAACAAATAAAAGGATTTTGTTTTATTCCTAAAATAAATAAATCTTTACTCATGAGCAGCAATATATATATTGGTGAACTTGAATATTTATAAAGTAAATCAATTGGTACAAAATATTGATCATTAACTTCGATTGTTGCAATTTTTTGATTTTGTATTGTACCAACTGAATCAAAGTTTATTATACTTAAAGGTATAGTAGTATTATTGTAAATTTTAACGAGTGACCTAAAAATAACATGTCGACAATCATTTCTTATTTGAATATCACAAAGCATTTGTATTGGCCGATTTTGATCTGTTGATACACTTAAATCATAAACACGTTTACATGTTCGATTTAAATTAATAGTTTTAACAATATCTCCAATCTAAATATAGATTTTAATTGATAAAAGACATTTCCTTTTTTTAAATGTTTTATTTACTTTAACAGATAATTGACATTCAACAAATAATCGAATAGATTCATTTTGTTTTAAATTTATTGATGTCGATGATATATTTCCATCAAACTTCTGAATAATTTTAATTCGATAGTTAAAAAAATTTAAAGAAATAAAACTTACTTCAAGATCATTTAAATAATCGATAATTAAATCTTTTCCTGTTTCATTAAATAAAAACCACATTGTTTGATTATCATTATCAATAAATGGTAATTATTCACCACAAACATCATTAAATACATATATTTCATGATCAACTGTTGAGAAAATATTGATCTAAATAACAAAAAAAAAGATAAAATTAAATAAAAATACCTAGGGCAGTCAAAAAGTAGTGAGAGTGATACTCTAATTCCTT